CAAACTGCTTCAAGAGTGTCAGCTCCCTCGCAAGACGCCCCCATCTAATTTTTCGTCATTATTTCCAGTGTTCCAGTGACTTCTCTTCCCCATGCATTTTGGCAGACCATCTTCCGGGACATGCTCATTCTTTGTCAATTGACGGATCTTTCTGCAGACAGATCCAATGGATGCAACATCCCTTGGGAGTCAAGCGCGACAATATGTTGTGAGCCAAGACTTCATCAGAAAGTTGAAGTATACTACAAGTCTCTTGATACTCATTAAATGGTGACTGTCCACTCAGAGAAGGATATTTGGACGAGTGATCATATTGCTGACTGCAAGTCTCTTTGAAAACAGGATAAGAAACCTGGTTTAAATCTACTTTTGCTTCTGAAAACACTTGAATACCTATTACGTGGGTAACAGTCCCATCATCATCATATATAGGCGCAAGTCGAAGCCTGTTCACCAAGGGAGTCCCATCCTTCCTGAAATTCAGAAGCTCACCTTGGAATTCAATACCTTCTTCAAGACATCTTCTCATCTCCGAAACAACAACTGGGTCCACTAAAGGATGCCGTCTTTGAGCACGAGGATCTCGGTACTGTAAGAACCGACTGGAAGAAAAAAGTTTTTGTTAAAAGTACGACAATTATCACATCAAGCTATCAAATAATCATAGAAACATAAAGCAGAAACATAAAAACATGTACACACATGCCTGGTTATGTATTAATTTCTTAGCGGTATATGATTGTTAACAGTTCTTTGGAACTATACTTTAAATCAGTGCCATCAAGATAGTAAAAATATGTGTATATTCATTATACAAATAAAAAAAGATGCCCGTTTAATGTCATAACTATGTTCATTATGCAGATAAATACAGTAGTAGTTAAGAAAGTTATTTTAACAATAAAACTACTTCAGAAATGGTCAAAAAAAAAAAAAAAAAAAAAAGAAAAACACAGATGGCACACTTTTGCGTAGTAAATGTGAACACAAGAACATGTTCCTCGGAGAACACAACTGCATACCCTTAAATAAACAAGTCAACTTAAGAAGTTAAAAGAATGTGAAAAGCAGCAGAGAAGCAGTAAGGCATGACTAGAAAAACTCCATTCCAAAGGGAAATAAAATTATTAAGATTGCATCTTCTTCAGCTTCTTTTCATAAAGGCAACACATAAACAGTCAACAAGCCGCTATCATACCAAACATCGGGAATGATGTTCCAGTCTTCATGTCAATTCAATCAATGAACCTGCTTTGCAGTTAGCATGTCCAACCATCCTTTTCAATTTATAGTTTTCAAAACTCAACATCCACATGCACAAATGTAAACCAGCAATATTACAGCAATAGGTACGCGATACCACAGAATTGTCTTAAAATGTAAATTTGTCTTCAATATGAGTGAAAAAATTAAATTACTCATGATTCAATACTTTTATCACCATATGAAGTTTCTCGTCAACCTCGGCATTTGTTGACAAGTTTCACATCACTTTTTGGGTTAAAAACAAAATTGAGTTTGGTTACTGCAACTCGAAGATTAAATACTCGATTAAAAATTCATGACAGCAACAAACATGCCTAAATACAACTCGTGAAAATTGTTTCATGTTGGTGACCAAAATAACCTCTAATGGGATCTTGAGTCAGTTTCGAAGATGAATTCGTTAGCGTGAAGAATTTTCGTACAGTGAGATTTTTTAAAGACTAGATTTGAGAAAAAAAATTGCTTCAACACAGTAGAATTAGAATATCTTTGAAGCCAAGCTGAAAGTTCAGACCTATTTCAGCTAATTATATTCATCCAACCGTTACATGTCCCCATCATGAGTTTTAAGCACGCAGAAGTAACTTTCCTCGATCAAAATAGCAAATAAAGAACTCGTTTGAAAGGAAAAAATTACTCCTCTGGCAACCGTTTTCACCAGAGTAAAATCAGTTCCCTCACCAGAGAATCAAACAATCGAAACGCCCGAAAAAAAATAAAAATCCGAATTCAAAAGCACACTGATAAGCCACCCTGCTTTCACGCTTTCTTTTCAGCTCAATTTCTCAGCGACCAGACAGAAAAATAAGCAACAGCATTATACCAAAGAGAACTTGAAAAAAACAATAAAAAAACGAACGAACAGCGAAAAGAAAGCAGAAGAAAAGAAATCGGAGTTTCCTTACCAGTTCCGACCAAGGACCTCGTCAGCGCGGTAACCGGTGAAGATCTCGAAGACGGTATTGACGTAAATGATCGGGAAATCATGCTCCAAAGCATCAGATACAACAAAAGAAGTAGGCGTGGTCGGATAATAGAATAGCCCTGGCTTCAACGGAAGCCCGCTCTCTGCTTCTTCTCCCTCTTCTTCTTCTTCTTCCTCTTCCTCCTCCTCCTCGTCCTCGTCATAGTCGTCTCTGGAGCATTTCTGTCTTTTATTTCCCGTTCCATCATGGATCTGTCCTCCTCCTCCAGTTGCCATCTGTCGAAGGTGGATTAGCTTTCCAACGCCGGTATTTCTCTGTCTCTCTGCAAAATCGAGGAGTGTGGTTTTTTGTTGTTTGTACTGTGAGCTTCTGGTATGATATTTGTTAATTGTCGTCTCTGAAGATATTTATCACTCATCAAATGCCATCCAAAAATGCTCCCCTTTTTCAATTAAATTACCAAATTACCATTCAATTTAAAATATTTAAATAATAATAATTTTTATTTATTTAAAAATATATACTAATTTAAAAGAAAATAATTGGTAAAAAAAAAAAATCTAAAATATAAAATATATTTAAGGGGAAAAAAAAGAAAAGGAGGAGTCCACGTAGGATTGGTGGGCAAATTACGGATGTTGACATGAGAAAATATCTCGACCTAACCAGTCATTGGCGTGATTAGGCCGGGACTTTGGGTCCACCCACCCCCCCGGAGCTCCATTCTTTTTTCTTTTCTTTTACTTTTAAACTCCATAATTTCTTCAATAATGAATTTCTCAATTACAATTCCATAATTTTTATTGCCATTATTGGAAACAAAAATTAACCAATCAATATATATATATATATATGTTGACATCTCTTTACAATATACTTCAGAATTTTTAGAATTTTTTTATTGCTTACAGCAAAAATGTTTTCATATTTATCTTCAAATTGTTACTTACGTACAAGAATGTAATATATTTAAAATTATTTATCAACTAGACTAATCTTTCTTTTAAGTTTTCAAGCCAAATTTCTTGCTATTAATTAAATCGTCCCAAATAATTATTAGGGCATTTTTTTAAATTATAATAATGTAATATATTTAAAATTTTATCATTTAATTATTATTTACAGCCAAAATTTTAAATTAAAAGTGTGTCTGTTTATTTTTTTTTTTGGGTTAAAAAATGAAAAAATAAATAAATTATTGGTTGATGATACGGACCAAACAATATCTTAATAATGAATTTATTTATCAACTTTAACCAAACCATGCGTATTAATTTGGAGATATTAATTCTTGTAGTGATTGACACTATTGATAGTGAAAGTTGGTTCTCCGGTGTTTTAACTCCCAAAATGTTCGAGTGCAAATAAACAATTGCATGTGCATTCATATATTTTTTTGTCAAAATTCACAAATAAACGTTTCCTTTTTTTTTTTTTGTCTTTTTGCCAATATCTAAGAAAATATAATTATTAAATTTGTATTCAAAGAAATAGAATTTTTAAGAATTTGAGTGAATATATAAAACTCGTTACTTTATAGATGCATTATTGATTAATAGTAATCAATTTATAATATTTAATTTAGTATGATTAATCACTAATATATTAATAAAATTGTGACGATAAAATTGGATTAAATCATTGTGAGCGTACTTTGATTGCTCATGATACCATTTTTTTAATTTTTACTTAACTTTTAAAATCTATTTTTTAGTTCAAGATCTCTTTTACTGGCACTAACTAGAATTAAAGAATTAGTAGATAAATTCTGCTCAAAATG